CTGTTTATCTAATTATAGAATTATTTTGACATAATTTTAAAGAATATCAGGCAATCTATGGCAAAAATAGAGAATAGCAGGCATCTTTATACCTGATTTTAATAATTTCTCTACTGTCATATCATTAAGTATAGAAATTAAAAAATATACCCCAAAGTAGGATGACTATTAAGATAAACTATCATATACCCATCACCTAGTCTCAACAATGATCAATTTCTTGCATATACTTTTCATGGGATTATACATTAATGTAGCCTTTTGTATGCTAATTTGATAGATCTAGGAATTCCATTGCTAGGCATTAATTCTATAAGAACACCAGCATCAATAGGCAAAGATACGCAACAATACTCACTGTTACTACATATAAATGCAGACAAGAAAACAACCTAAATACTCTCCATAGGTGAGTGAAAATGGTACATTCATATAATAGTACTCAAATGTTATGAAAAATTTTGGTAGATTTATGTGCTGAGGTGGGAAGATATCAAAGTTACTTTATTTGATGGAAAAGGCAAGTGTAGAACAATATGTATAGTGTGATTCTATTCTTTTTTTTTTTTTCCAAAGAAAATAGTCATATGCTTTTATGTGCATAGCAAATTTCTGGAAGGTTATGTAAGAAATTGTTATGTAAGAAACTGGGAGGGAGAACAAAGAGTGGTGAGGAGAGGTTGAGGAATTAACTTTACACTTTCTCCTCTTCCTTACAGCTTGTCTGTCTTACCATTAGCAATATTATTTTTAAATATCTTATTACAATAGCCCAGCCGTGTGGCTCAGTGGATTGAGCGCTGTCCCATGGATTAAAAGGTCCCGGGGTTTAATTCCCGGTCAGGGCACATGCCTGGGTTGTGGGCTCGATCCCCAGTAGGAAGCGTGCAGGAGGCAGCTGATGGATGTATCTTTCTCACATCGATGTTTCTATCTCTCTAAAAAAATCAATAAAAACATATAAAACATTACACTAAAAAACATGATGTTGGCTATGGATTTAATATTTACTAAGATTGGGTTTTTTAAATCCTCACCCAAGGACACTTTTCCATTTATCTTCAGAGAGACTGGGAGGGAGGGAGGGAGAGGGGGAGAGACATCGATTGGCTGCCTCCTGCAGGACCCCAACCAGGGCCAAGGACCTAACAGTAACTGAAGTACGTGCCCTTGACCAGAATTGAACCCGCGACTCTTTGGTCCTTGGGCTGATGCTCTAACCATTGAGCCAAACCAGCCAGGGCCTAAGAGTTGTTGTGTTTTTTTGTTTTTTGTTTTAATTTAGTTGTTTTAATCAAAAGGTGGTGGTAGATTTTTATCATCTATTGAAATGTAATTTTTTCTTATATGACCTAACTGTATGATTTATTTCCATTATTTTAGTATTATATAAGTATCCTGGCATTTCTATGATAAAATCTACTTAACCATGTTAAAAATGACTTACTTCATTGAATTTAATTTACAGGTAATTTTATGGGGAATTCTGGCATTGGTTTTCTTATGTGAGTTTATTTATTATTAATAATTATTATTTTATAATCCTCACCCGAGGATATTTTTACATTTATCTTCAGACAGAGTGGGAGGGAGGGAGAAAGAGAAACATCAATATGTCTCTCACATCAACTGGTTGCCACCTGCATGACCCCAACCCGGCCAGGGATGAACCATAACTGAGGTACGTGCTGTTGGCTGGAATCAAACCCGGGACTCTGGTCCACAGGCTGATGCTCTAATCGTTAAGCCAAACTGACCAGGGCTGGGAGTTTATTTTTTATGAGTGTTTTTTGGTACAATTTTGATAGATTTTATAATAATTATATTTGGTTCATAAAAATGAATCAAATTTAATGACTTTATGCATTTAGAAAAGGAATTAATTATACGTCCTTCAAATTTTGCAAGAACTTGACTATATAATCTCTAGGGCTGAGCCATTTTTTATTTCTCCTATGATTTTGAACTACTTGTTTTTTTACTTCTTGATTCAATTTAGGTGATTTATGTTTTTCCAGAAAAATATGTTTTAGCATATTGTTAACTACACACAGTATTCTCATATAATTAAACAAAACAAAAGAAGTCTCCATATCTGTTATGTCTCCTGTCTCCTTTATAATTTTATTATATTTTCCCTCTCTCTTTATTAAATAGATTTGCCAGATATTTCTCTACATTCTTCCAAAAATATATTTGATCAATAATTGTATTTTTTGTTTGTTTTCTAATTTATTAAATGTCTGCTTCAATCTTTCCTTAATTCTCCTTTCTCAGATTTTTTAAAAAGCACTACTTACTTCACTTATTTTTATTCTTCATGTTCAATTTTCTTCTCTGAAACTATGTTACTATCCTTGGTCTGGTTTCAAAAGACTTTTGGGTATTTCTAAAAACTAAATCTACTCTCACAGAGGAAGATTTTCTATCACTGATGATGTCCATGTAAAAGAATGTGATTCAGTCTCTTGTGGCAAATTTCTAAAGAATTCTAAAAATGTTTGAGTAATGGCAATATAATTGCAGCAAGCTTACAACCTATCCTGAAGGGGTCAACACCTATTTGTATAGTATATAAAATCTGTATGTTTGCTAGAATATTATCTCCCTTCTCATATTTGGAAAGAATCAAGGGCCAGGATTTAAAGAGGAGCTCTCATGCTTGCTTAACGGGATATCCTCAGATACTGCATGTTTGTAACCCAATATACTCTAAATTGGTTTTTCTTTTTGTGAAAAGGTATTTAAATACATTATATGTACAGCCTGGCTTTATGATTGGAATTAATCTCATATAAAACATTTTTTTCAAATGCAAAGATTAAATATTATTCACATGATAGGATAACAAAGTTTTCTTTGCAAAAACCAATTCACTATGATGACATAGATGTAGGCAGAACATGCTTTTAAAAATAATTTTTAAATGCTCCGATAGGCCAGATTATTAACAAGAAAAATAAATGTCTAACAGAAAATACTGTGCCAATAGAAAGGCAGATTTGCAGGTGTGACCTTTGCCAACATATGTCTCAGAAGATCATCAGATCCATGTGTTTGTATATTATGTAACAGTGTTTAAGTGGCCAGGAAAGGGAGGATTTTGTGGTCCAGAAAGTGGAAATGTCCTATTTAACATATGACCCTGGCTAGTCCCATCTCAAATTACTGTTGATCAAGTTACAGATGGCAAACCAGGTGGGAGAGAAGAAAAGTTCTGACAAACTTGGCAATAAACAGGAGGCCGCAAAGCCAGTGTCATTGAAAATACAAACTTACTGAAGTCTTCAATATTTAAAATAACCCAAAGAAAAATGGTTTTGCAAAGCAATCTGGACCAGAAGAAATCCCTTTAAAAAACTTTAACATAGCTCCCCTGGTAAGATATTAGGAAAGGTAGAACATGACTTTATGAATGAACCAAAAACATATCTAGACCCCTCCACTTCCAACTAACAGCTTTATGATCACAATCGAAAAGAATTGTCTTTGTTTTGCACCCACATGCATCTCAAGTTTTTTAAGCTTCCAAATATTTAAAACATGTAAGTGCCTGTGGTCTAGGAATTTATTTTTGAGAGAAAACATCACTATGCACCAATAAGTGGAAAACTAAACTTTTATCTCTACCAACTTCAAACAGAGGCATGCATATATAAATGTGTGCTTTTAGCAATGGTCTCAACTGGATGTCTTTTAAAGTAGTGGCTTAGGGCTAAAAGGACAGTAAGCTAGAGCCCAAAATTATCTTAATTCTGTTTGCTCTTGTGGCTGTGAAGCTGTCAGTAAAGAACAGAACTGAAGCTCAAATGCTGCTAAAGGATTACCTAGAAAGCAGGGCCTGTGGCCAAGTTTACAAGCTAAGACTTTTTTAGGAGTGGCAATCCTAGGGTGGTAAGGGTGAGGGCAAATGCAAAGGAAAGCAAAAATACATTGAGTTGAAAACAGCTTCACAAGAAAGTACAGCTCTTTGCTCGGTCCCAAAGGTCAGCTTCCAAACAAGCATGCAGAACCGTCATAACTTGAGACCCTCTGTCCATGGAGAGGCAGAGGGGTTTATATGCTGGCTACTTCTTGCTCTCTACACTCTTTGATGCAAGTTTGTCTCTTGGGGCCCTCACGCTCCCACTCTTCTGGGTGTGGCAACTAACCCCTCCTTTTCATTGCCAGGGAAGCAAGGACATGCGGATCCTCAAGGTTTTGCACAGGCGGTTAGGACTGGTGAGAGGAGCCTGAACCTGCATCAGAGCCCGTGGTGTGACAGGCAGTGCTGACGCCTGACGCTGCCTCACCCAGCGGGAGGCTGTCCTGACGGGAAACCACAGCACCAGAGGCCAGACTTCTGCGCTGAGCGAGAGGCTAAAAGGGAGGTTGTAGGGGTGGGATTCCCCATATCTGGGAGGTGCATAAACTGGGTGTGGCAAAGTGTATCCTCCTTGGACCTGAGGCATTCCTGAGGTGTTCACTGGTTCTCAGGAAGCAAGGAGCCCCTCCACTCAGAGACAGCACTCAGCGCCGAGACAGCAGATGTCCCCCGCCAACCTGTCCCTTATTCCTCAGCTGCCACTAGCCACTACTGTAACCTTTCCCCCAACTTTTTTTTTTGAGGTGTAATTGGGTATATAAAAATTTACCTATTTGAGGACTTCAGCGAAATGCATCCTGACAACTGTCTTTGTCCTATGACTACCACCCCCCTCAAGCTGTGGAACTGTTGTTACCCCACAAAGTTCCCTCCCGCTCCTTGCGTTTCATCCTCTTGCAGTTCACCCCTCCCCGGGCAACTGCTTCCTGGAAATAGTCTCGCCTGTTCTAGAATTTCGGAGAAACGGAGTGACCGTGGTCACCTGCGTTTACCTTTCCCCGACACGCTGCCTTGAGACGCACGACGCTGCCGCGTGGGTTAACACCGTGTCCCAGTGTACCCCCACTCTATTTTGGAGAAAATTACTGCGTAGGCTACGTGGAGGGCACGTTAACCTGCTTCGCCCCCCTGGGAGCCCTCACGACCCTCGGGCTTCACAGCAGGGCGGCCGGAGGCTCCGGCGCCCAGCGGAGGAGTTTGGGGCCCGCCCCGGCCGAGCCCCGCCCGTCAGTCAGCCAGGCTGCCCGGGGCCTCGGGCTGGAGCCGGACCTGTGGCACCTGCTGTCAAGCTTCAGGGGCCGAGCGGGCCGGGCCGGGCGCAGACTTGGGCCAAACGCGCCGAGCCGCTGCCCCGCGGCCGCCCCGCCGCGGGCCGCCCCGCAGGGCTGTTCCGGGCCGAGGCCAGGCGGCGGCCGAGTCCCGGGCGGCGGAAGGGTGGGAGCCGCCGGCCCGCGTTTCTGCGGACGCGTCACCTGCCGAGGCTCCAGCGCGGCGCCCCGGCCGTTTCCCTCCGCGCGGACGGCACTACTTCCGCGGAGCCGGGCTGTCGGCGGGGACACCCTCCTCGGCCCGGCGGGAGCGGACGAAGCGCTGGGGCGCGTCGCTGCCCGCCGGGAGGGGCGGGCTCGGGTCGTGTGTCCCCCCCCCCCCCCGCCCCGTTACAGTAATATTGGCCGACTTCATTGGAAGGACGCGGCGGAAACGGACGGACGAGGGCGTTTTGCTCTGTGGCGTGGAGCGGCCCGGCCGCGGCTTTGTCCGCCTGCCCACCGGCGGCGCGGCCCGTTCTCCCGCCCGCGCGTGGCGGCGCGGCCTCGGAGGCGCCGCGGGCTTTGTCCCGCACGAGGAGCTGTCGCGAAGCGGCGTCTCCCGAATGGCTGGCGCCGTCAGCGGGCGCGCTCCGGGCACCAGTGGCAATTAATTGAAGAAAGGAAAAAGCCGCATTTCCCCCTCACGACATTTTCTCAGCCATGAGTCCTACTGTCTGCAGTAGTAGAAAGCTACCATTCGCTGAACTCCACCCTTTAATGTGTTCCTTCCCCACTCAAATGGTCTACGTAACCACGTTCTCTTTGGACCCTTCTAACATCCTTTCTTTTCTCTCAGAAATAATGGGATTTCACAGGAAGCTGCAGGTGGGCGATGCTCGCAGCCGAGACGCAGGCCCTGACGGAGCTGGGAGGGAGGAGCGGGCTGGGGGCTGACGTTACTTTGGGGTCCCGGCGTCTGTGATTTTATGCAGATCCGAAGAAAGGGCCTGGTCAGAGAGGGTGGGAGGCCCCCCGAACCTAAGAAAGGGGCTTGTGCGCTGAGAAAGCATCTATTGTTTGATCACACAAGGACCTGCAATTACAGAACAGAGGGAGTAGAATGTTTGTCGATAGCACCGTGTAAAAAGTTTGGGTTTAGAGCTTCTGACTGCTTACCTACTCGTTTCTTTCTCTCCATAGCCTTATACTGTTGCGTCTTTGACACATTTATTGATTTACTCTCTCCCCACTTGATCGAAAACCCATGGGAGCTGGGAGTTGTTGGTTCACTATTGTTCCTGGGAGCCTAGCACAGTACCTGGAACTTTGTAAATACTGACTCAGAGAATTAAAAACAAACAACGCACATTATTTGAAAGCATTGTGAGGGAAGCACAAAACCAAAAACCACACGACACAAAAAAAACTGATCTCTTCAAACCTACTCTTTTAATTTTGGAGCAATAATTGATAAAAAAAAATAGCCAAGAGATAGTCACACCACCATTGCATTTTCCAAAGACTAATGATAGCAATGACCTTACACTTCTAGGATGCTTTCCACTGCATTCTAGGGATTGTGTGAGGGGGGTGGGGGTCAGTAGGGAGGTTGGGGGGAGGGGGGGTAAGGGGTTGAGGAATGTCTGAAGGGGCAACCTTTCAGTTATAAATAAGGCATGGGGGATGTATAGCATTGCAACTATAGATAATGTATTGCATATTTGAAAGTTGCTAAGAGAGTAAATCTTAAAAGTTCTCATCACAAAAAAAATATTCTGTAACTATGTCTTGTAACATGTTAACTAGACTTATTGTGATTATTTCACAATATAAAGCAAATATTGAATCATTATGTTTTATACCTGAAACTAACACATGTCGATATACCTCTTTGAAAAAAGAAAAGAAAAGAAAGTAGAAAAGTTTTAAGGTAATATATTTATATACTTAGCCAATAGTCATACGGCCTGAAAGAAATTCTGTTGGACCTTAAAAGAAAACAGGACAGAAGGTTCATCATGTCAGTTAATTACTGCAGTGTTACAATCCACCCCCAAATTTACTGGCTTAAACAAAGACCATTTTATTTGCTCAGGATTCTTTGGGTTAGGAATTTAGGCAGAGCTCAGTAAGAATGGCTCTTCTTTGCGCTATGTTGTCTTCACTGGGGTGCCTCAACTGGGGCTGGGGGATCCAGGGTGGGCCTTGGTGCCAATCAGTCTCTCCCTTCCCTCCCCTCCCTTTCCCTCTCCCCATATGGTCTCACATAATTCAGTAGTCTAGCTCAAGCATTTTCACATGGTGGCTATGTTGGGTGTGTGTGTGTGTGTGTGTGTGTGAAAGGGATTACAAAGCATCGCTTTCATCATCTTCTGTTGGTCAAAGCAAGTCATGGGGGCTAGCAAGTATGGATTCTACAGATTGGGAAATAGATTCAACTCTTAATAGGAGGATGATACAGGCACATTGCAAAAGGGGTGTGGTTACAATGAGTAAAAGAAGCCAGTCACAAAAGAGTACATATGTATGATTCTATTTATATGAAATTCTATAAAAGGCAAACTAATTTGGTATGACAGGAAGCAGACCACTGACTGTTCAGGGCTGGAGGGTAGAGACTGACAAAAGGGCACAGGGAAACTTTTTGGGATGATAGAAATGTTCTGTACCTTGATTGGGGTAGTGTATGCACAGGTATATATACTTGTCACAATGTGTGCATTTAAACATAATTATTAGGCAAATTATACAAAAGAAAGGTAGGCAATAGGAGGTAGGAGAGACTATCATAACCATCTTTAGAAATAATTTACCATACATAAAACCTTACATCTGACAGAACCTGTAAAGAGCATCTGGTTTAATGTCTTCATTTGATGAATAAGAAAAGTAAGGCCCAAAAAAGGAACTTGTCAAGGAATACTCTGCTAGTTAGTGACAAAACCAGGATTAGAACCCAGACTCCTGACCACAGTCTTCCTGTTACTTCTCCCACATCCTCTAAGAAGATTGAGGAAATGGATGCCCTGGCCCTGAGTCCCACTGAGACTCACTTAAATGTAAGAATGTCTGGGAATGAGGGCTGGACCATGATAGCTGTCAATATCTCTATGTACTCTAGACATTTTCAGGGGTCTCCAGTGGTTAATAAGGAAAGTTGGGAGCAAGATTTCTGTGCTCTGTTTCTAGTTCTGAGAGACTATTGACAAGTTCCTATAACTACTCTGTAAGTCAGTGTCTATACTAAAGGTAAATGGAGCAATATTTATAAATAGAACTGAACAATGGGGAATAAAATAGAAGAGCAGCTATGCCAGAGCCACCTGTTGTCTACAATGCTGTTTTGGGGTTTCCTAAGAGGGTATTGGTGGGAAAGGACAAGGAGGGATATGTGACTATTGAAACAGTATCATTTATTTAAGCTTTACTAAATTAACAAACCCATTTTCAGGCTTGTAAGCCAAGAATTATTGGTAGTTTTTGTAAAGTACTTCATATAGTAAGATAGAATTGAAATAATAATAGTATTGCTACCAACAGCAATATGCAAATATTAGAACATTTAGGGAATTTGACAAGGTGAATATAGTCCATTCTCTAGTATAATGTCTTTACTCAGAAAAAAAATGACTGAACCATGTCCAAAATGACTCAGACATTTATCAGATGTATTCAACTGCTCTGGATGCCAAAGAACCTTTTAAAAAATATCTATGAGAGATGGCAGAATGATGTGGGCTGAAATGATTTGTGTCTGCTGTATCAGAAAGTAAGGCTCTGCTGATTTCAGGCGCTTACCCAGAAACCTCTGGACTTCAACTGTGATGGAATATGAACCATTTGCTAACACAAAGTCACTTTGGAAATTGCCTCCTATTACCTACCCTTCTTTTGTATAATTTCCAAAGTGATTCAGCAAGGGAAGTTTGTTTAAGAGAACATCACTCTGATAGATTTCTGAAGCTTGGGTTTTGTTTTGGGTTGTTATTTTCCCATTTTTTCCCTAATACCTATATCTTAAATATTATTATATGTTTATATAGTAAACAATTTACTAAATTAAGGGACACAGATTTGCATCTTGAAGTTGTGGTTTCTGCCTCAAAACTGCTGATTGGGAGGAGCCCATTCTTTCACAAACTTAAAATGTAGTTGCAGAATAACTCTACTGGCTTAACACTAATGTCAGGTGGAAAGTGATGTATTTATGGAAATAATTCAAATCAAAACAGTCTGCTCTTGTTTGGATTACCCTAGCCAGGGGCTTTGGTCCTGGATAGCTTCCCCTTGATTTAAGTTGGGTCAAAGAGGGTGAAACAATACGGCATGTAAGGGAATCAGCCCAGGGCTCTCTTAGAGTTTAACATCAGCAATCCTACAAAACTTAGTTTGATTTAGGACAGACATTCTCAACTAAAGACCTTTTCAGAAGTTACATTTCCACTTAATGGCTGCCATGTTTTGAAATATTTGGGCTACCCAACATGTAGTATTCTTCATAACCCTTGTAGCCTTTACTCAGGTACACACACATTTTGGTAAGGTTTTTTTTTTTTTTTCAGTAGCACAGATCAACAGTTCTACTTCAGGAACTCCAGAACTCAGGAACCCAGCATGACATAAAACTCATTGAGGAAGATGAACCAAGACTTCTAGGTCTTCTACATACATTTGTGCCATCCTGGTTCTCACTTCTCACCATTGCTGTTCCTCTAGAACTGATGGTTGTTTTAATGGCCTCCTATTCATGCTATTGGTGAGGAAAAAATTCCTGACTTAGATTTATGGAGATGGCCAGACACACAATACCTGACACTGGACAGATGATATTAACAGTAGTTTATGAGTCACCTATCCTCAGCCAGTGGGAGAAACACACCACACACAGGGCTACCTGGAGGTTACACTCTGGAACAACATGAACAACCAGGAGCTGTGGGGCCAGGCTTCTTTGTGGAATCAAAAGGATGGCATACCCCCTAATTCCATGGGAGGATGTGATTGGCTTGTTTAAATTCTGAGGGCTGGCAAGGAACTAAAACCCACTACTCAGGGATAAGCAGGAGTGATACCTGATCTGTCCTCTGGAGCTGGGGACCTATCTTCTGGAGACCTATCCTCTGGAGCAGAGCAAGGAAGGGAGCTTATGGTTAGACCATTGGTGGTCTCCCAGTTTTTCCCATGTGTCAAGGCATACATAATATTGGACCTTGATTTTTAGGCCTTACAACACAATAGCAAGGTCAGGACATTATTTCTGGACCACCATATACAATACTCTGTTATAACTGGAGAGAAGAAAAGGTAGAGGCAGGCCAAACCTTTGTAGTTTATATAGTCACAAAGCAAATGTTTACTGAATGTCTTCATGTGCAAGCACTGGACTAGGCACAAAGACTTAAAAGTGAATGGAACATAGTCCCTATTTTGAAGGAGTCAAATGAAGGAGAAATAGAGAACATAAGCAGATAGCCATAATACAGAGCGATGGATGCAGGGGTAAATGTCTGCATGTCTAAGAGCACAGGGATGGGAACAGTTCACTGAGCTGGGGCACAAGGAGAGCTTCCTCAGGGACAAGGGACAGTGGCCCCTGAGCCAGCCTTGGAGGGTGAGAGGAAGTTGGTCAATCCGAGAAGGGAGCATCAAATCAAAGGAACCAGCATTTCCA